TCCTGTTATGTTTGCTGTCGGGCTCTTATGCGTTGTTTTAGGACACCATATTGTACAGTCATGATACGTTGACTATAGATGATGTCTATGATACATTCAAAGGAGAAGCTGAAGCATCTGATTGGAGCTACATCAAGTGATGGGGAAGCTCTTGTATTTCATGGTGGTCGATGGAAGGATAGATTTAGGGAAAGCAGCAATGTGAATTGCTTCTACTGCAGACGGAGAGGACACTTGAAAAAGGATTGTGAGAAGTTGAAGGCTAAAGATGATTTAGCTGCAAATCATAGGGGGCAATCATGGAATTCGGACGAGACTAATGTGACTGAGGATTTTTCGGATGGCAGAGATGTGATGTTGATTGTGGTTTCTGACGTGGAATCTAAGCCTGACGAGGAGTGGATTCTTGATTCGGTATGTTAGCATCATATATGTTCTGATAGGAATTTATTTCAGACATAAATTCTCTGGTGAAGGTGGAGTTTTGAAGGTCCGAAGGGGTGTCCAGGTTGTAATGGAGGGACGGAAGAGATCCCTGTTGTACATATTGCAGGGAAGTGCAGAACCAGTTTTGAGACATCGGGACAAGTTCAGTACCGTGGTGGATATACAGTTTGGTACAGTACCTCTTGTGACGGGCTCTGGGTCGGTTCAGAACATTGCTAGGGAGAGCGTTGGTAATTCTGCTTTGCTACCAATTTCAGCGAATGCACTGTGTTCAAATGTCAGGGGTAGACTCATGGAGCGTAGGTACGGTGGTGTTATTGATGTCTGTGATGCTTTTGGGATCGTTGAAGGTGACAGTTCTGACAAGGGGCCTTCTGATCAAGCACTTAGTTTGGTGTCTGCTACAAGGTGTGCTTCGACCCTATTTGGTCAACAGTAATTCCTTGGTGGAATTTTGGGAACCCAAGATTTGGGTTCATGTGTCGCTTGTGGATGCCTTGCAGAGGAAGATGGTTTGGTGATAGAGAGTTTTGGTTACTGTGTTGAGAAGATTAGCCAGTTCATTTCGATGGAGATGAGTTTATTTCTCAGGTGGAGAATTTTGTTGAGTTTCGCTCGTTGCACCAGAATCTGGGTCAAGGTGGAGATTTCAAGTTTATGCCCCAAATTAGGGGTTGGGTTGATGTGTATTGATTTCTAGAGAATCAAATTGGGTCTATGAAAAAGGAAAGAAAATCACCTTCTTTGAACGTGACAATTATTTTTTTTCCTTTTTACGCATTTTGTAACCTACTTTCCATCTTTTGCCTAGTTTTAGGATTTAATTTGTGTACTATAAATATGTGGCTTCTCTTTCAGTTTAATTTAAGCCAAATTGCTGTGTCGTTGTAATTCTCTCCATATTGTCAGGTTTAATAAAATTCATCGTTACTCTGCTTAAATTCTATTTTTCTTCTTTACTTTAAACATTGATATATATTATTATATTGTTGCAATCCATATTAACTTCATATCGCGTTATTAACTTCATTCTTTACAACCCCTCGATCCCAACAGCATTAACAGAAAAACAATGCTTGAATTTGTATGTTAAAATTTCCAAAAAAAAAAAAAAAAACTCACACATGCATCTAATTAATTATTCCAATTAGATAGTGTGATTTTATTTTTAGAAAAATGATAATATTTTTTCACATTCTCATTGAGCAAACACCTTGCATACATTAATTTAATTAATTCAAATTTCTTTTTCATATGTATTAATATAAAATAAGGCTTGAATTTATGTTCAAATTTCTAAACGCACACATATGCATCCAATTAATCGTTCCAATGAGATAATGTAATTTTTTTTAGAAAAGTGGCAGAATGTCAGTTTTTCACATTCTTCTTAAACAAATACATTGTATGTATCAATCTAATTAATTCAAAATTTTCTTTTATGTATTAGCATAAAACAATGCTTGAATTTGTATGTTCAAAATTTTAAAAATGTACACATATGCATCTATTTAATTGCTCAAATAAGATAATGTGACTATTTTTTAGTTTTACATTTTCCTATAGTCAAATACCTTGTATGCATCATTTTAACTGATCCAAAGCTAATTTTTCATATGTTAAACACAATCATTTTCTTCTCAAGTTCATAATGTTATTTTCAAACATGTTCCCAATTACAGTAGCAAAATCATCAAAAAGAAACTTCATAAATGTCAATTATTTACATTATAAAGTTCGAACTAAACCTAATCACGAAATTCAAATAAAAATGAGATAGACAATGTACTATGATGATTAAAATTTATAAGTGAGAGATTATTCAGCTGGAAATTGATAACTATGGTTGTTGCTTTCATAATCTATGCAAATATAGCACTAAACGATCTTAAAATAATAGAATTAAGAAAGTACTAAAACGAGTCAAAAAAAAAAAAAAACTGTAATTTTGTTTGTGTATTTCAAGATTTGTGGAAGATATCTTTGAAGAATAAATGTTGAAGCAATCTCGATTTTGTTTTTGCTTGATTTGTGTAGTTTCTTTCTTCTTCTTCTTTTTCCCTTTCAATTTCCCTCTGATTTTTTTAAATTGGAAGCTGATATTTGTGGGAGAAGTCCGTAGGTTTGGGCATATAATTGGCTGTGAACTGTAAGCAATTATCATATAATTCAAGTTTATCATGCTTTTTCAAAACTATCCCAAAATATAGGGTATTTGTGTAAGAATGTAGCAAACTCGTAACGCTGCAATCATAATTATAGATACGGGCCTTTTCTACAGAAAGGGAAATCTTGTGTTAAAAATCCTATTTGTCAAGCGAGAGAATCTCAAATTACATCCTGGATTGATGTATAGTGCGACTTATCAGATATATTGGGTTATATGGGATTTCCCCATGAGATTGAATACATATAAACATGAAAGCTCGTTAATTTACTTTAAAAGCAATTCAAATGAAAAAAAAAAGAAAAAAAAAAGAGAGAGTTAAATTTGATCTACTCAAGCATGGAGCCATGGGAGGATAAATTATTATTTTTCGCATGGGCTAATATATAGAAAAAAAAAGTTACAATTTATTTTTATATTTGAAAATTTTAAATTGGGCTTGGCCTTCGGCTAAAATTCGAGGATTGCATCCTATCTACGATCCTTGGACCACCGCCCTCTAGCCACGATCACAAATCTAATGTTTTCCTGTCCCTGAGCAGTCGACGTCCACATGAAACATTGCCACGTCAGTTTCATGTGGGACCCCAGATTTGGACGTCCACGTGGATTCTGGAAACATAATCAAAGGGCGATGTATGGGGGGAGAAGCTGACAGTTTACCATTCATCCACTCAATCAACCTCATTTACTATTAAACTGCCTCAACAGTTTCTCAATTTTCATTTCGTTTTGGCAAATTTTAAACTCTTTTATTTGAATTTTTAGTAAAATTAAATTAATTTAACAGTTAAAGTTTCAATTTAATATAATAGTCTAAAACATGTTATGTATCGTTGACATGATACATTAATTTATTAATGGATAAATTTATGTTAAATCTCAATATTTGAATTAAATTCATTATTCATCAATGATTAAATAAGACATGTTAGTTATGTTAAATTTTATAAATTAAAAAATGAATTTTATAAAATAGGGACGAGGGACTGAATGAAACCCATAAATTTATTAATAACCTCAAATTTGTAATTTTCCTCAATAAATCAAATGGACCCTCTCAAGTTGTGTCCCGTCCAATTTCTACTATGGTCGAATTGATAAGTTCTAATCATGGGACTGTGTACGTGCATTAACAGCCGTGTGATATAATAAAACGTTTAAATTGAGATTATCAAATCAAGGTAATGGGGGTATTTTTGTGAATTATCGTATTCTTGAAATTGTAATTAAAGACATGTTCAACATGCTAAATTCATGAATAATACGAAAGTCAAAATTTGGTTCAGCTAATAATCAAATTTTTAGTAAATTTTGATAAAAATTTATGAAATTTGTGATCTCCAAAATTGATAAAAATTGTTAATTTTATTGAATTTATGATCGAAAATGAATTGGAGAAAAATGAATTTTAGAAAATAAGGATAAAACAAATGCTAAAAATAAATTAGAGAATAAAAACAGACAAGACATTTATTTGTATTTTATATCCTATTCAATATGAAATATCCGAAGTACAATACGATTCAAGCAATTGCGAATATAGCTCGTAAATGTTTCTACCATTATTAACACAAAGAAAAAATATACATATAATTTTTTACTATACGAAAGAGGTAGAAGACCGACAAGCTACATGAAATGGTAAAACTTCATTTTTACAGTGTAATTACTGAGCAGATCTACTGATTTTTGGGAATATTGTTTAAGGGAGACAAACTATCCATGTAGGGTTCGGACAGTGATGGAAATATAGGAAAATCAGAACACCACTCCACATTTTCTTGTCATTTCTAAAGACACGTCTTGTTGGGAATTTATTTTTCTGTTCTTGCAGTTTCAGGAAGACTTGAACCTCCATTAAATCTCCCCTAAAGATTATCAGATTTTTAGTAAATTTTGATAAAAATTGATGAAATATATAGTTGAAAAATAAATTGTTGACTTTAACTTGAGATTTTAATTTGATTTTAATCCAAACCAAACAAGGCTAATCTCGATTGCCATTTTCACACTGCATGTCATACATCTAGTGTATTTTTTGGGCCCGTTCGATATGACTTCTACTTTTATTCCATGTAGAAGAATTTTTGGAAGAAGTTACTTTAATTTTTATTTTAAAAAAAACTTTTTATTCTAAAAGTACTTTTAAAAAAAGTTAAGTTAGATCAGCTTCTTCTAAAAAATCTTCTAATTAAAAGTACTTGTATAAAATTATTCAGAAGGGGTTCAAAAGAAGCTTTGGATCTCGAAAGCTCTTTTGACTTTTCAAATGTCACATTAAATGAGCTATTTGTTGGCTCTTCATTACTGTCGTCGCCATGGGTCCCTTATGCCTTACATATAGATATACAAGTTGCATGTATTCACCAGCTTTAATGCACAAAATATAGTATTAAGAACTTCGGGAGGGAAGGATAAACACACACAACATATCCACATTCCCTTCCATTTCCCTCTTCATCAAGTACTCCAAATCTGTCCAAAATCCGATTGTTCTATCAAAAATCCTTTAATTCTCCAAATGAAGTCCTGGCTGCTGCTTATATCTCTGCTAATTTTAATGCTTCATGAAGCTCAAGGTATGTGTATACGTACGTACATATATATTGGGTCGAGTAGTCCCTTCGCTCCCTGACTTGATTCCCAAGTCAAAATAGCTAACCACAAGTAGTGGTCATATGAATATATATGTATATATATTAGCAATATTCAAAAAGACGCTGCCATATCCTTCCACTTTACGGCAGTATCGAGATTTGCAACATATGTCCAAACGTTGCATAAGGTCTTTTACAACATTTTTTGAACGTCGCAAAATATTGTTTTTTTATTGTGGGTCGAAAATTACCCAAGTACAGCTCATTAAGTTATTCGTTTACAGCATTATAATTGCAATGTTTTGATTTATCTCTCCTATTCTGATGAAGGCTTACGATTGACAAGAGAATCTGTATCGACTAGACATCATCATAATATTCCTGTAAGTACACACACAGAGGCTGTTATTGTTGAATTTTGAGTAATTTCAAATGAAGGAATTATATGTACTATCTGATGTAGTCTAATCTGAATATGATATTTTGGTAATTCAGCAGGAAAGTATTCCGGACAGAAGAATTAATGTTGTTGTTGAAGAGGTTGTCCATTACAAAAGTAGTCACGGTTCAGGTAATTACTAAGGATCTATTTTTTTTCCCCAACCTAATATTCATTGATTATTTCTCGACCGTGGATCAACCAAACATGTCATGGTTTTCGTTTTGCTGTGAGAGACTTGAGAAAAATCTTATACTCAACTTCTAGAGTTTGTTTGCAGGAAGAAATGATAGAAAACTTATGACCAAGACAAGTACCCATATTTCCAGCACTGACGCCATGATTAAGGTGGGTTTTTAAGGGTTAGAAAACAATGTTTAGTCCAGCATAGTTTCAAATCAAAACTCTTTTGGCTCATTTAAAATCAAAACAAGAAATTAAATCTTGTTTATTATAGTGTAAGCGTGTACATTTTTTTCTTCTCTCTTATATGATTAGCTTTGCGTGTACAGAATGACAAAACTGAAGGAAATAAAGATCGTACCAAATCAGAGGGCAAATCAAGAAGTGAAAAAATTCCTGGGAGCAATTCATCACCTGTAACTGAAAAACAGCAGCCTGTGGCAGAGCCTTACCCTGGCATTTTGGACATAGCTGGAATGGATTATTCTCAAGCAAGAAGAAAACCTCCTATACACAATTAGAGCTAGCTACAAGGATGAACTGGACAGAGAACAATACGATAGACGAGATTTTTATTTTTCTTTCTTTCTTTCTTTGATGCTGTCCAATACTATATAGTATACTTTATCTCCAGATTTGGAAGATAGTAGTGATCTCCAAACTGAGATATCTCCCTTGGAGGGTGGTGTTACATTGAAACTTGATAGCGTATGGGATCACTGTACAATGAATAGAAATAACGAACTTTGAGTTTGTCATTCCCACGAGAAATAAGATATACTATTTAGTTCAATAACTTTTACTAAATTCAAGTGTGCATGACATCAAGAGAGTGATTTGTTTGGTTTTCTATAGTACGCTCAATCTATAAGAAGTAATAAAAGTGAAGTTTTCAATTGTGAGATGCATGTATTGGAATCTATAATCCCTCTATTGCCATTTATTTTAACTCTTGGTCATAATATAGTTAATTTCTTGCATTTTGATGATTGATAACGCTAAATTATTCAATGCTCTTTTTCAAGACACAGGAATCTATGATTAACACGATCCGATTGTTGGGAATCTACTTATACATGCACAGCGGAAAATTAAATTATTTCGATTCCCATCCAATAGATCTCATTGTGTTTGGTTAGGAATTGTGATAAGATTGTACCTTTTGTCAGATCTGCAATCTTTTGCTTTTCTTTTCGTTCAATCAACCTTGATTTGCCACCACAGCTGTCCAATTCTCCAGCCTCCAACGGTGATCCACACAGAGAATATGATTGCAGCCTCTAGGGTTTTCTCTTGTGCCAGCAAGAACAATGAAAACCTTAATGGACCTCAAACCCTAGTTATGTATTTATATAAACCCAAACAGGCTCGGTCCGGTCCGGTCCAATAATTAATTAATCCAATTAATTAAACCCGGTCCGTGAATTAATTAATCCAATTAATTAATTCGAAAATATAAATAACAAATCCAATTAATTAATTTATTCAACGATTGTTAAATTAACCAATTGGCAATTTGCAATCTTCCAATTCTCTTTTGTGTGTGACCCATTAGGTTCCCGACCACGATGCCTAACGACGTGAAATATTATTTTGATCTAATCAAAATTGATAAATTAAAACACCCTTTTAATTTATCGTCAATTCACATTCGCCGTCCCTGATTGACATCTAGCAATGTGTCAGGGCAATACATGTGACGGGAAATGTCATGTGGTATGACAAAACCAAATTCGTTCGTTTACCGTGAAACTATAATCCCTTCGTCAATATGATCCGATCAATTACGAGATATGGAGTTGTGTCAATCTCGATCATCGATCATATCTTTCACTCCACTATTAAGTCAATATAAATCGAAAACTCCTTTTCGACTTATGAGTACACCTTGGCCAAGGATTTCATCATTGACTTAATTGAATGAAACGCAGATCATAATCTCCTACTATCTAAGAGTGACGAATCCTTTATTGATCAATCACAACCTTCATACGATTCTTGACGTACCCGAACGATGTCGTATTAGCGGCCCTTTTCAGAGCAACATCCAACACCGCCAAAGTATGACTGTCCTCATATAAGGTACCATGACGACCTCAAGTCAAAGGACCAATTTCACTATCGAACGTTAGAGATTAACCACCGACACTCAGATAGTTATCCATGTGGAATCTCTCGACGGGTCTCCAATATTTTGTTCTATAACAAAACATCCACATGTTCATTTAAGTGTCACCACACTTTAACTTGTGAGATCAGTTACTTACTTCACAAGTGAGAAATGCCACATGTGATGGTCTATCCGTAATAACGATATCCGTATCTCGTTATTACTTACGACCACGGAAGATTTAAAATTCAATCAGATGTAATTTGTATCTCACAATCACAACTCCTTGTGATTAACAAATTACAAATATTTGAATCTACGGACTCTATTATTTATTTAATTGTCTATTAATTAAATAATAGATCTGCCATTTAATTGCATTAATTATATATGAAAGTATTTATGTCCAAAGTCGATTGGACCTAGGGCATAATACTTACACCGATCCTAATCCTAATCCGAATTCATATGAAATCATGCATTTAGTTTGGATTATCAAAGTGACTACATGTGTAAAAGAGATTATTCCTAATTCTAACTACACATATTAGTTTTGTCGTGTTCTAAACTCATTTTGGATATTCCTACACTATAACAGGCAACTTATTATCTAACCGGTAGCTAAGCAATCAAATAAATATGATAGAAATGCAAAACTAATCAAGAAATACTAAATTAATCGACTTGAATTAAAATAAATGCACAAAAATGTACATCAATCATCCAATACAATGGAAATCTAGTTAAACATGTTTCTAATGATAAAACAACAAGAAGAATGGAAGAATATCACCCAAAATTTATAAATACAAGAAAGAGATGCCACGGTCCAATTATTGTTCTTGATTATCAGCCTCAAGATTTGAGTCTTAGAGTTCTTGATGTTTCTTCATTCAATCACTTGCTATATTTGTTCCCCTCTCCAACTTGGGTTGAATTTGTCCATTATTCTTGAATGACTTTATAATATGAATCTAATTTGAGAGGTGAGAGAGAGAGAGATCCCTCAACGGCTGCCCATGTATTGTATATTATATGATGAAATTAGATTAAGATTCATGTCCAAATTGCCTTCTAAAAGAGTTCCAATAAAATAAAAAAAGTTGCCTTCGCGTGCGCATGATTTTATCTCTGCACAGCTTTTAGTATTTTGGTCTTTCCTAATATCCAAGTGAGGTTATTTAAAGTGTATTGAAAAACTAACTCAAAGGGTCGCTGTTCTTCTTGAAGTACAATTTTTTCAATTCGAACATTTAGTATTCAAAAAATGGATCTTAAACTCTGGTTGAAAATTTTGAATATGCCTTTTGTGGTTGGAAATTAATTTGTAAATATCTTTTGATTATATTTTATTCATTTTTTACTCTTATTGCATTCAATTGATCCTAGCAATCACCTATCATCAATTTGAAGTCCGTCACAAGTTTTAAGTATTATCACTTTAGTCCACGAACTTTGAATTTACTTCATTCTAGCCCTTTTCCATTATTTCTTTCAATTCTTCATCCAAACATTAATTTTTTTCTATTACAAGCAATAAACAATAAATTAAACACTAATATATTCAAAAAATAATAAAATATCATCATTTAGGATCCCGAATAAGTGTAGAAACTATACTTATCAGGTGGAGTGGTGTTTAGAGAATGATAAAAGAGGGTAGATTTTGGACCACACATTAGATAAAATACTGCAATTTTTTTGGATTAGGAAGATAGGTATTGTACATAAAATATATAATTTTCATCATTTTTTCGATTATTAGATGATGATAAACTCATAAGCACATGAACTCTTATGTAGCCTTTGTAATCTTGAAATATGTGCTTCATTATTGATCTATGATAGCTGAGTACCGTTATCCATCGTCTTTTATTTGAATACGGACTTCGAAAACTAAATGTGCCATTTTAAAAGGAAAGAGGAAATTTTGTTTGGTAGAAATTAAAATCTAAATTTTAATTTATGTCAAAATCAACAATTAACTTTAATAACATATTTCATGGGATCCATAACTTTTCAACCATATATATCATCAACTTTTATCAAAATTTATTAAAACTTAATTTTAATCCCTACCAAACAGGGTTTAAATAAGAACTCCATGGTCTGGTCTTTTTAAGTTTTGAATGGTATTTTCTCGATATTAATTGTAAGGATTTGCTTAATGCTTATTTTGTCTTTGCATTATCTTATAAAGCGAAACCCTGTCGGACCACCATGTTGTGAACATTGATTTTATTGCAATGGTCATCCTTAAAACATGGGCTCATATGCCTTTTGTTAGGTCAAATAATACCATCTGGCTCAACAGGGACTCAAAATTTTGGGAAGGGGTTAGAGTCGACATCGCATTACAAACACAAAAAATAGAATTTCACTTTAATATTGACCATTCATAGTTGTTATAAAGTCACAAGATAGACCTTTCATGTTCATGCCTTGTTCACTGAATAGTGAACAAGGCTGCATGCACATGCAAGACAAAAGGGCAAGCTATCATCATAGGAAATTTTGGAAAGACGATGACCTTTGAGTAGTCATGGCCTCATTACAATTCTATCTTCTTCAAGAACAACATATACATGCCGATTGCTTTTCCAATTGATGACTCTTACTAGCTAGTCTTTTCCAGTGAAAATTTATCTTTACATCATGATTTGATAGTTTAAATATTAAATTCAAATACTGAGAGTATACAATTGAAAGCCCAAGAACGACTAATCAAGAGGGGGTGAATTGGTTATCTAAATCTTTTTCGAAAATAAATGCTAATATAATCAATTTACAAATAAGATAATGAGCAGGGAAAATAACTTTGAAAAATAACAAGAGAAAGGGAAAGAAGATGCAAACGATATGTTATGGAGGTTCGATTCAATCACGATCTACGTCCCCCGTTATCAAACTCTTCGTCACGAGCAAAGCTTTTTTCACTAAATATGATTGACTTATGGTGCAATCCAATTTTCTACAAAGCTTTCGGTGACTCATGACCAAGGAGCACCGATCCTTTTAAAATGTTGAGTTTTTCGGGACCTCAACACGACCTACAATCAAAAATAAGAGAAGGAGATATTACAAGTGAAAACTTCTCTCTTAATAAAAGGAATAATCACAATTGAGCATTGAGAGAGAAGTAAGCTTGACACTTTAATAGATTGCAAGCTCAAGTGTTACTTTGAAAAACTTTTGACGAGATGAAAGATTTATAATAATTTTGACCACTCAAAAGTTTTTCAAGATGTAAATTTTTTATATTCTAAAGATTAAAAGAGTGGTTGAAATCAATAAAAGCCTCACTTAATGATCAAAAAAAGTTATTGCAAATGAGGAAGTGAAGAGGTATTTATAGCAGTGAAACTGTCAAAAAAACTGTTCTACCGGATGTTCGCTATCGTACCGGACGATTCACTAGCCTTTTTTTTTTTTAAAAGTCAGAAATGTTAAAATTTTTTACCGTTTTTCTACCGGACGTCCACCAGACCTACCGAATGTCCGCTACAGTAGCAAATAATTTTCTCCGATCTTTTGATAAAGGCAATACTTTGAGAGATTTTTATATATGATTTTTCAAGAAAATTATCATTTCATAGTATAAGATCGAATCCGTTATTTTGAAATAAATATTTTGCAAGTATTTTGGTGCAATAATAATTTTTTTGTGTATAAAGCCGACACTT